TCTATAAAGCTGCAGCCAAGAGACAGCTAGCTTAGCTTAGCTAAAAGGGTGGAAGTAGGGGGAAACAGCTAGCTTTGCTCACTCCAAGATTAAAAAACCTGCCTACCAGCACCTATTAAACCAATTAACATGTTATATCTTACTTCTGTAATCAGCACAAAAAAACAGGCTAGCTGTTCCTGTGCCTCAAGTTTTATGCTACGCTAATTGCCTTCTGGCTCTATCTCTATATTTAGTGTACAGACAGAGAGTGGTATTGATTTTCTCATCCAACTGTAGGTAAGAATGCAAATAAGTGTGTTTGACAAAATGCCAAACTATTTTTTAAAACAATGGCATGACATTAAGACAGATTTGAGACATTCACAGCTGATTTCACCGAGGTTGTTTAGGAATTATGATTAGCAGGTAGCATTCATGAACAAAATGTTAAACTAGCAACTTAAACCATGCAACTTAAAGTCATCATAAAGTTGTCTAGTATAAAAGTAAATGAGTGAACCTCCTTTTTAATTTATTAAACTATAAAGTGTTTAAATTTAATTATTTTGAAATTCTGTTTTTATTTATCTGTTGTTATTTGATCTAGTCATTGATGGACTGCTTAAACATGGTTTTGTTTTTATAAATAAATCATATCATGACAAGCATGAGAGAAGTGTTTGGAAAATAAAAAAATCATAACAGAAATGAATAAAATATGAAAGGGCAGTTTTATGAGGTATTAGGTATTATTTGAAGTATGATAAATAGTGAAAACTAAAGATGTTTCCGCTAACAAAGGCAGATGAGGATGGACTGTCTAGCTCTGACCGACTGTACTGAGAAACTTTCACCTCAGAGAAGCCAGGAGGAAATGAGTCGAGTCCATGTGGACATCACAACCTGGGTTGGCATGTAGAGCCAGACTGTGGCCTCTTCTTCCCGCTTCCTGTATTCCTGAACTGACAGTTTCTGCTGCCCTGCCAGTGACCCCTTCCATCTGTCACATTTCTCTACTTAGATACTCAGAGTGGTGAATTCACAAAGAATGGATTGCGGCAGCTAATAGCACCATGAATAGCGATCACTTATACTCGCCACTTGCCCCATCTTATGATCCGATTCACAAAACATATTGCGTTGCATAGTTTTCTCTACTCTGCTCTGAGCTGGACTGTTATAGCACGTAACCATCGCCTCCTTTTCTCACAGCAGTAGGTTTTATGTTGTTTTCCAGTTTCATTCCCCAGTGGTGAATCAGGTACTGTCTGCCATCTGTGCACATATGTACTGTGAGGCACTATTGCTTCACCTGGCTACAATCACCACTGCCATGATCACTGGAAAGTCTGGGTGTGACAACCCTTATAATTGCACTTCAGTTAACACCAACTCCCCGAAGACACTTATAATTTCACTCGTGTGGCTATTAATGCAAGTGTTCGTGAATTGGACTTTTTTTGCAATGAGACTCATTTACAGAGAAAGTGACCCATTGTGTAATGGTTTATTCCCCTTCTTACTTATTGAGCTACCTGCTTTCAAAGAGCTTGTGGTAACACACAGTACAAAAAGCTCAGTGATGACCAGAAAAAATTCTACCAACCAGAATAGATGATGCAGCTGAGGCCGTTAAATCATCTGTGAAGAAGGATTTGAGTGCTGTGAAGTATGAGGCAACCACCACTGACTGCTGGACCGCATGGCTACGCAGCTTTCTAGGGGTCACATGCCACTAGATTGATTAAGACAGTCTCCAAAGGCGCTCTGCTGCTCTGTCGTGCCGACCCCTGAGGGAGGGTCACATACGTTTGAAGTCCTGGCTGCTGCTTTGGAAGACATCCACTTTGAATATCAGATCCATGACATGATTGTCAAGACAACTACTGACAGTGGTTACATCCTTAAAGCTTTTAGGATGTTTCGGGAGCACACAGAAATCTCAGAATCTGAGTTAGAGATGAATGATGAGGATGAGGATGAGGATGAGAACACCCTTGAGAATGAGTTAGAAGACATAAAGTTCCTGTTTTAGTAGATAGTATAGTAAATATGTTCTTGACTGTTTTACAGGTATGGGCTAGATCAGAAGTCTCACTGAGGTGGTAGAAAGTGAAGTCACCTTGGATTCCAGTTCTGCTACTGAAGAAGACTTCTACATTCCTTTGCTGCGCTCTCCTTCAAGACAAACACTGCACTAGCAGCGTCTGCAGCTTGTGAGAGATCGTTCAGTTGTGCTGGGCTCATTTTCACAAGCAGGAGAGCAAGACTGCTTCTGCTGAAGCTACAAAAAAAAGTTATTCGACGCTCTACAGGGGGTTGTTTTGCCCTTGCAATGTTTGGGAGCATTTTGCAGCATTCACGGGACATTGTTCTGCAGGAGTACATTTTACATTAAAAACAAAAATTACCTTTTGTTTGAAAAGAGATAAACTTAGAATGTTATGGACATATTATCCCAATTTAGGGTTTATTTCTTATAAAACATGGGCGTGATGGGATTTTCATTTTGTCACTATTAATATGTTCAAATGTAAAATAGTTCATCTAGTGATCTGATTTAAAAAGAAACATCCTACAGAGAACTGTTTTTGCCTTTTCAAACACATTTTACCAACATGTAAGGATGAGAACTTCGTATTGCTACTGTTTATGTTGAATAGTTATCTTGGATTTTTAAAATGTTGTTCCCGGTGGAAGCGCAACAGAGAAGATGCGGAAGACAAAGACTTTTTTTCATGAGCAATATCATTTAAATCGTCCACTCTGGGACAAAGAGAAGAGTAGATGAGGAAGAAAGGGGTAGAGAGGCAGAGATGGAGAGTTGGAAATTGTTCATATCTCAATTGCCTAGGCTATCCTGATTTGCCTTCCTGCTTTACTTTATAAATAATAAAATAATAATAACAATAAAAAATGTTTTATCAACAAGTGCTGTTTTTTAATTATATTGCACTGGCCTGCACACATAAAATATATTGAAATGGAAAGTATTAACTAGGTGCTATTTCACTTTTATTTGAATATATATTTTCAGTACTGCCTGCCTAGCTGAAGGTTGTGTATGATACACAGAAGGTCTCTCAATGACAGAGAGCTTCTGTTTGTGGCTCATTGTACAGTATGCTGTTTACCGCTTAAATTCAAGGTTCTTTACTATACCGTCACTAAATTTCTAGGTTAGGTTATGCCTTTGTACTGTAATTATGAACAACATCTTTTGCTTTCATGGAGTAGTTCTGCGGCAGATCCTCCTTGTATGAAGCAGCATTGACCTATTTAGTGTCTGCGGTGCGTGGTCAGGCCCGCAGGGTCCTCTTCTCTCCTTTACTCTGGCTGGTCGATGGAACTTTGAAACAACCAGGGAGCAGGACAGTGAGAGGCGAGAGTGGTTGATAATGAAAAGACCTTCACCACACTTTCTTGCTGTTCTTTTGTGGGTCCCCAGTTTTCTGGTCACAAACATGTGAGACAACATTTATCTATATAATGTCACATATAACACCTATTCACTTAAAGCAATGTCCTCAATAGGTTTTACATTTTGAGGAACTAGACATGTTTTTATCCTTCCAAAAAAAGGATTTTCCTCTGAATATAAAAATTCTTATCTATGTTAAATTATAATTTTTTTCCTGTTTCATGTCAAGCTGTGTAAGTGATTACCATTTCAGAATTACCCAGAATCACATTCCTTTGATTCAGCGCTGAAACCTTCCAACCTCCTGAGTTGTTCTGCATACTTAGCACAGCTGGAATCATAAAAAATGCATTCAGTTTATGGTGATCCCAAGTGGCTGCTACCACGGCTGAATGGTGCAGGCAATGCAGGAGTGCCTCAAGATGCAGTTCATCTGATGACTACGAAATGATGTGTGACAACTTTAGACTGTATAAAATATGGACATGGTGTCTGTGACATCACCCATTTCTGAAGAGCCGTTGTGAATGTAAAGGGTTAAAGAATGTGTTCACAGTTAGGCATAAGAGATAAAAAGTAATTTAATTAGTTCAGTTCATTATACTACCATTTATTGCTAAAATAAACAATGTGTTAAAAAAAAGACACCCATATAATTTTTTTCATGATATTGTGTAATAAATAGTTACTAAAAGGCCAATTTCATTGTATTGTACTTTGGTGCGGCGATACTTAAAGAGGTCACTAGGTGGCGCATAGCGCGTGGTAAGAGGCAGCGCTGCAGAATAATACTGCAGTCGAGCTGAACGCAAGCTAAAGTTTCTGCCTCATTGTTTCTGCATACAGGTGGGTTAATGTTCCTCAAATTTGCATGCATGTACCCCAGTATAAGGGATAAGTGTGTTTTGAATCCTTAGTGAGAACGTGCAATGTTTAGAGTTGAATAGTTTTGCCGTAATGTGTGAAATAGTGATGTTTAGCCAAACACTGCCATGCTAGGCTAGCGGACCTTTTGCTAATGAGTAACCCACAGAACAATGGAAACGCTAAAGGTCTAGTTTTGTGTTGTTAACTGATCTGAAAATACATTCAGTGCTAATGTGTGTGTATAACACATTATGTTAAAACGGTTTCCCTGTGTATGTAAGCATTGTACTCAACTTGAAAAGTGATGGAAATACAGTAATTTCTGAATGTGTGACAGAAGAGTAGTACTGCAATGAGCGGCAAATGTATTAGTTACTCACTGTAAGCTTGTACATTAGTGTTTGAGGTGCAGCGTGATAAAGTGTGAACTTAGGAAAATGTTAGTTAAAAGATCCAAATGAGTACAAGTTCGTTTTTTGTTGTTTTGCTGGTTAATATGTAATTCACGTCAACTGAAGCACAATGAAAAGTACAGACATTTATATTGTTTAGTTAGCTGTGCTATATGTTATCACTACTTTAGTATTTTCTGAAGATATGGTGATGTCTTACATATTTGAAAGTACTGTGAAATACCTGATGCTACAACAAGCATTTTGTTTTCTAACTACAGCGAGTCGAACGTTAATTCCTTTTTTGTTGAAGCAGAATAAATACTGCAGTCGAGCTGAACGCAAACTAAAGTTTCTGCCTCATTGTTTCTGCATACAGAATTTAAGGACACACACACCCCCTGACACCCACCAGGCCAGGGGGGCAACATGAAGCTCAATGTGGGCGCCATCTTGGCTAATCCAAAAAGGTGGAGCTGAGGTGAGCTGAAGGAAACCTGGTTGCAGAATCACCTAATGGCTAGCCACTTGAGAGGACACCCACCTGTCACTCAAAGTGAATGCACTCTTAACGTATGCATAACTTTAAGCCTTAAAATAATTCAAATGGGTTAGTTAAATATAAATTCACCCCATGTACAGTTGTCATGAAGGGGAAAGTTAGCTCCAAACTATTTTTGTACCAAGTTGTAAACATTTATTTTTGCTGTAAATGTATTTTTAATTACAACTCATGTGTATCCTCCCCTCCTTTGTCCAACCTTGAGCCAGGTTGCGACAGATGAAGTTGGTTCTCGACATCTTTCCTAAAATTTTTGTTCTACAGGAAGTTACGGTGTTTGTTCAATTCAGTTGTGTTCTAATATGTGTCTTGCATGTTGCCTTATTTGAAAATCACTGTCATACTGGGTAACATCACTATTTTTAGTCTTCGCTTGATCCCAATGATGATGACTTTACATCTCTTCTATCCCCTTCTCACTCAACCATTCACCCAACCAGGGGGTAGTGTAAAAGCGCTTTGAGTGGTCGAAAAGACTAGAAAGGCGCTATACAAATACGGAGCATTTACATTTACAACCAGCTGACGCAAACTGGCTTGATAAGTGTTTCAGCACATGACCATTCAGAGCTTTGCAGGATCAATAATGATCCAGTGATATCCAGTGGGTTGAAATGCGGAGGCAAGGGCTGAGAACCAAATCGATTCACCCCCTTATGGTATGGCAAAGGGGAGCGTTGAAGATGAAACAGACCTAAAAGCAGAGGTGCATGCAGATTGAGAGTAGTTAAGAGATAGTGAGTGAGGATAGTGAAGAGGAATGGTGTTTGAATCTGATGAAAGAAATGAAACATCTGGGAATGTGGTTTTTAATGTTGTTGTAATATGTCACCTTATTATCTGCTGTGGAAGTACAACACAAATTCCAACATTGACATTAATATACTTTTACTGCCACTCGCAGTATGTAAACTCACTTTGATGACCCACATTAATATATGCACCCTATCCTCTTCAGCACAGACACTGTTCTGCAGTCTTATCACACACATAAGGTATAAGCACACACACACTTTATTAATATGAGAGACATTAACTGCAGATTAGAGAAAGCACAAGCACAGACAGAGAGTTGCTTCATTACTGGTGGCATTTAGCAGGAAGACCCGTGCACCTTATCCAAGACAAATGTCAGTGTGCTGCACACACTACCTATTATATACTGACTATGTGTGGAAAGGTTAACACAGTCCTTAAGAGGAGGAGATGCCCGGCTGCTCTGGATCGCTTTGGTTTTCTCCACTTTCATTGGTCCATGTGGCGCAAAGGGTGGGAAGAGGGGCATGTGCCGGTGGGAGCTTTTCTTTTCCACATGTAGAACGGATAACGCAGGAAAATACAAGTACTTATTGTGCAGGTGAGATTGAAGAAAAGGAACACACCTCAAAGGAAGACAAATAGATGACAAGAAATGCTTAATTGGATAACAGCTTCTCAAAAGGAAAGAATAGGGTGTCAGCGAGTGGGAAGTTAGGGGGGGGAAAAAGTGCGAAAGAGATGGATGCACACAAAAGGGAGAATTTGTGTGTGTGATGAGAGAAAGGAAGAAGGTATGAAGAAAAATGCTCTTATTGGGCAATCACTTAATCAGATATTCAGACCTGGGAGTATGTAATTAAAGTTCCCTTTATCAATGCACTTTAATCACATATTGACATATGCCGCATCCCTGCCCATTTCTCCAAGTCAGTCCAATTCAGCCCTGCGTAAAAAAAGAAACAAAAAGAAACCTTTTATTGTTTAATTTCTAGTATTTCCACTTATTTAGGCGCTGCTTGCAGACACATCAACGTGGAGCACAGTTATCAGTGATGATGAAAGTTCCACCTGTGCTTTTACTGCTGTGAAAAGTCCAACTGTCCACTGTGAGGAAGGTCTATGCACACACATTTTTTTTTCTTTTGTTTTTTTATATCCAGTTGGTTCCATGCTATTACGCTGATCTAAAAGTGGCTGTAGAAGTGTTTATCAACATTTAACCGTAAACATGATCTTTCTCTCACCTTATCCATAGGTGGTTTTGTTGCTTAAAACTAAAATTAGCTCCACCGTGACCAGCTAAAACAATAAAATGCTGCTCAGATGGTAATACATTTAATAATAGTAGTAATAATAATCCAATAATGTAATATAACACTGTTACAGGAGCCGTTCCACTGTATAGCACTCTAACTCTGGATATTTATGCTGCTAATGTGTTTGTAATACATAAGTAATATTATGAATGTAGGACTTGAAATGTAGTAGTTTAACATTGTAGTATTGCTGCTTTTACTTACTTACTTACTTACTTACTTACTAGTAAAGGATCTCACTACTTCTTCCACCACTATACAGTATGTGGCCTGATGTCACTTCCAAGTTGTAAGATCATCAACACGTGAGTTATTCCCTGCAGTTTTATCACAGCCAGTTCCCCAAGCTAATGAAGTTATCAGGGACCAGTTTTTTCACTGCATTAAATGCCATATGCTAATTTTTCAAACCAACTTGTGCAGTGTAATAAGTCAGACTACTGCACCCTGGGTATGGAACAGTTGGAGTATGCTGCACAAGCTGTTTGGAGAAATCTGACATGCATTTTGATATAATTTTTGGCAGTCATTAAAATGTGTGGGCTTAGCTAGATGTTTGTAAAAAGACAATTTCAATACTGTTGGAGGAGGCGGATGTGGGACTACAAGGGTGAAGTGGCTGTGCTTGAAGATGGTCTCATAAATTGTCTGGGAAATTCCATTGATCTGGGTCTAGATCTACTGTATGCATGAATTTGGAGTGAACTATTCCTTATGAAAAATGGTATCACGCTCCTCTTCAGCCACCCTCCTGGCTTCTTTTGCTCCTGTGGCTCGGTGTCACTAGGAATCAACTGTAACAGTGCAACACGACATCCCCAGGGATATAAAAAAAAAAAAGAGAGAGAGAAACCCGTAGAAACAAGGCAATGCCTGTTGTTCCCTTTTTTCTTTTCAAACAAAAAAAATGTCTTTTGGTGTGCAGGGAGGTCTGGGAATCAAAGAAAACATGTCTGTAGGTAGAAGATTAAATTAGGGATTTTCAGTTTACTGCCTGCAGGTAAGGTAGCCTCTGGAGATGGTTTTAAAAAGTGTCACGACTTTTGTTTTTGAAATTTCATCCATGGCCTCAGTTAACACAGCTTTAAAGGGCTGTGTGCTGAAAGAGAGTAGTTAATATGTATGGAATTAGAGTTGTTAATGAAAGAGGAAAGGAGAATTCTTAAGAGAGTGGAATATGATCACTTAATGATCTTTGCATATTTGCTCACAAACCTAGCTTGTAAATATAAAATGATGTGTCTGGATGATGGCTCCAGTGTCTGGAGCAAGAGGCAATGTGCTACAGGTGCAGCTAATCAGATTAATGAGCCGTTACTAACTAGTGATTGGCTACTATGTGTGCAGAGAAAGGCGTTCTTGGCTGAGTTGAAAGGATAGACGCACTGTATTAGACTTCAAACTGAGAGTGCGAAAAGAAGCAAAAATATATGAAAGCAATGAATGAATGATGTGAGGAAATGACGTGGCGTTCTGATTGAACCTTCATTCATCTCCATTCAGTCACCAAAGTAGGTTGAAAACCATATATGCTTAGTTTTTTTCAACATGAATTTATATCAGTCTTTCCATCAGATAATATACTTGCTCGTCAGTAGATGGTGCTATGGTGCTGCTGTGGATCCAGTTGGGCGACTGAAGCTACAAGCTCAGTTCATGCAGCAGCTCAGAAATTGTGATGGCAAGTTCGAGTCTTTTGACAGACTCGTTCATTCAAATCTCGTTCATTAAAATGAACTAATCTTTTTTTGAGTCATTTCGTTCATTTCAAACTAGGCTGGTTATTGCGGCGCTGCAGTCCTCTAGTGGGCGATTAAAAAAACAGTGCCATTCTCAAACACAGAAGGCTGCCTGGCTTGCTTTATTTGACAAAGTATAATGCTCAAATTTACCTCTTGATTACTCTATATCATCATTATATAAACCCCCTGGGCCCACAACCAAATTCAAACCATGTAAAAACCACAGAAATATGTTGTCAATATGTAATAACCACTACTCTGGCTAAATCCTTCCATTTTCACAATCTTTCCCGAGTATACAACTAGACCAGCCATATAAAGGCTTATGTATATAATTACTATCATTATCTCTAAAGTGCTCATTCATACAGTAGCCTAACGTCCCTATCCATGAGTAAAATATTAATTAATTAATAATTAATCAGATTTGCAGTAAATATACTGAAGTAATAAGCTTGATACACTATATGAATAAACACACTCTTATTAAAATTCAACCAATTTAATAATTATCTGGATCAAGCCACCAAGTTCTTAAAGAACTCCAGCACAGACAGAGGAACAGAGAAATAAACACATATAAAGCAGCAGTTTGGCAGTTCTGGACGCAGAATGGGCCACATCAGGTCTGGATTCTGAGAAACACACATGAGCACATCGCTCAAACACTGCCAGGTTGTTCACCAGTCACAAGATGTGAAACAACAGCACAGCTCTGTTAGTAAATAAAAAGTAAAAGTTACGTTGCGTTCTCTGGCGGACCTGGATCAGCTGTTAGCAGTTTACAGGGCTAATGCTAAAGTTGCTACGTGGCTGTGTTTTAATGTTTTAATGACCGGGTGTGTTTGTTTTGGCGAGGAACCCTGTCAGGGCTCTGAAGTGGACCCAGAACAACTCTCATGAGCTGTTAGCTGTAATGTGAAACACTAGCGGGACTAAAGTTACGGTGGGGCTGTGTTAAAACTGTAACTTAGCACAACATCACTGCGCTGTAATAACGTTATGCTTTATAAAATGTCACATAATTAACAAAATAGCTATATAATATCAGTCCAGTGACTGTTACCTGACAGCCGACCTGCCTCTCATTCTCCGGCGCTGG